GGATGGGCCAACTTCTCCACAATGAGATCTACTTCTAGTAGGACCCAGAAACTTATCTGAGAAAAGGTCTTCTGATAGAGATGCAGGTTCAGACTCATAAGGTACCTTATATTACCCATAGAAAAACAGTACAATTTAGGTATCTATCAGCCCTTAATCCCTCCTAGATGTCTCCAGCAGCATTTTGCTGTATCTGATGTTGTCAAAATGTAAATGTCTGATCAGGGGGCAGGATGTTTCTAAAATAAATACCCTCACATTTGCAACTCAGTCTTGGTTCCTAGCTTGGTATTGGCAAGCAAGTATTTGATATTATTAAGACACATTGGCTCTGTTTTGCTTATCAGTCAGTTATGTGTAGAAAGTTTCATCTGTAAACCCTGAAAAAGGCTTTCTGTGTGGATTATGTAAACAGATGTGGTCCATCCTCCTGAAAGCTATGTCCAAAGCATACAGATGACAGAGAAGTAATTAGATACAGCCAACATGGCTTCACCAAGGGGAAAATCCAAAGAGTTGTAGTCAACACCTCAATGTCCAAATGAAGATCAGTAAAAAGGGTGTCCTTCAGGCATCCATATCGAGACCAGTACTGCTCAATATCTTTATTAATGACACAGACAGTGGGATCAAACCCTCAGAAAGTTCACGGATGACACCAAGCAGAATGGTGCAGTAGATTTGTTACAGGGAAGGGATGCTATCCAGGGGGACCTTGACCAGGCTTGAGGAATAGGCCCGTGTGAACCTCATGAAGTTCAACAAGTCCCAAGTGCAAGGGTCAGGGCAATCCCCAGCATTAGTACAGACTAAGGGATGAATGGATTTAGAGCAGCCTGCAGAGAAGGACTTGGGTGACAGTGGTAGGTGAAAAATTGGACATGAGCTAGCAACATGTGCTTGCAGCCCAGAAAGCCAACCATATCCTGGGCTGCATCAAAAGAAGGATGGCCAGCAGGTTGAGGGAGGCAATTCTGCCCCTCTACTCTGCTCTCATGAGACCCTACCTAGAGTACTGTGTCCAGCTCTGGGGTCCTCAGTACATGAAAGACATGGACCTGTTGGAGCGGGTCCAGAGGAGGGCCACAAAAATGGTCAGAGGGCTGGGACACCTCTGCTATGAAGAAAGGCTGAGAGAGTTGGGGTTGTTCAGCCTGGAGAAGAGAAGGCTCTGGGGAGACCTTATAGTAGCCTTTCAGTATATAAAGGGGGCTTATAAGAAAGTTGGAGAGAGACTTTTTACCAGGGTCTATAGTGACAGGACAAGGGGCAATGGTTTTAAAGTGAGAGCAGAGATTTTGATTAGATATAAGGAAAAAATTCTTCACTATGAGTGTGGTGAGACACTGGAACAAGTTGCCCTGAGAAGTTGTGTGTGCCCCCTCCCCAGAAGTGTTCAAGGCCAGGTTGGATGGGGCTTTGAGCAACCTGACTTAGTGAAAGATGTCCCTGTCCACATCAGGGAGGTTGGAACTAGGTGATCTTTAAGGTGCCTTCCAACGCAGACCATTCTATGATTCTATGAAAATAGGTATATTTCCAGTCCTGAAACAAATCAGCTTACATACAATAGTGGAGATATGCCAGTTTGCCTAAATTGATGGTCTGGACTGGTGAGCATTTCTTTGCTGCTGAGCATTTCTTTCTCTAAGGCATAATTAAGCATAACTATTCTAAGAAGATTGAAAAAAGTAGTGTCTAATTGAATGAGTCTTTGGAAGAACCAACTTTATTTATTTACCTTCCTTATAAGATGAAGAGAACACTAAACCTATTGAGAAATTTTTTGTTGTTCATATTCTCATCATTTCCAAGTACATGATTTTTGTCCCATTATCATTCCTCTCTACTACTCTCTTGGTTTTTTCCAACTGTTACGCCCTTTCTCAGGCCAGTCTGTAAGCTCTCCAGGGCAGGGACCGTGGCTTCATATGTATAGGCTCAGTGACTCTCACAGTAGGGCACTGAGCCTGACTATTACTTTTGGTGACTGCTGCAATATGAAGAGCAGCACTGAATACAGAATGCTGTATTGAACAGATGTGACATTTAGAACATGTGAATGCCCTCATGCAGCTGTGTGTATTATTGAACAAAGTTGACACTCAGCAATTCTGACTCAAATGAAACACCCGTAGTGGTTTTCCCTTTGGTCTAAATTTCATCATAATATTTTGTCTTACATACCAATATTATGAACTCTTTTACTATTCTGCTTTATAGTAAATCCTTTTTGAAATACATTCCTAATCTAATTCCTATTTTCATCCCCAGGTAATTATCAGATTTCACTTTAGGTCTTCTCATTGCTCAGATGATTGGAGAAATTACTTGAAGTAAAACATTAAGTCATGCATGTAGCTTGAAAGGAATGTTTATAGAAAGATGTTAAAGGTATACCAGGGCAATGACTGTCATATTTGCTTTACCACCTAAGAGTAGAAGAAAAGAGATATACTTAGAAAGTGCTTGTTTGGCTTTAATGAGCTGAAATAAAAGTTGACAGTAAATACTATTTTCTCGTCACAGTGAACAGACTCAAGCAGCTACTAATTGAAGACCAATCTTTGAGCATAAGCTCAGAAACTCTCATGGTATGCCAGGTTTATTCTGTCTGAGCTGAAGCCTAACACAAAAATTGGTTTAACTGCACTGCATGTGTGTCAGTTCAAAGCATTCCAAATTGTCTCAACATTTGATGTTATGTAGCCAAACAGAAACTCCCATGAAAATAGATACATTATTCAGGAATATATATAATCAGTTGTGCTAATTTCAGTTGAATACTGTAGGGCAGAGGTGGCCGCTGCCTTCATCTGAGAAAGTGGAGGCCCTTCCCCATCCCTCCAGCTGACTTGTTTTGTCCTCTGTGATCTATGTCTGGGCTGTGTGACTGCATCAGGTCAGGCAATGGGGTGATGCTGCCAACAGCATCTGCAAGAGGATAGGCAATGGGATGAGGGAGAGAACAGATGACAATCAGTCAACTCTGGTGCAACACTGACTTCTCTGTAGCTTTGGAGGTGCTAGGGAAAAGCTGGGGTTTCACACAGTGGCTGGATTTGTATGAGTTATCTGTGTGGTGGCATGGGAACAGGACGTGAGGACATGAGGTGGGGAAAAACAGGAGCAATTAAACCCCTTACTTATCTTTCCCAGTAAATCTACAGCTAAACCCACAGTAGTTTTTCATTTAGTCTAGTTTTACCATGCTAATTTCCTTCTGTACTTGTTCAGCAAAAACTCCTGTATGTATCTATCTTTATAATATTGTATCTAGGTACAAGTACCATATCCCAGCATAACTTGAACAAAATCAAACTCTTGAAACTATACAAATACATAGACCATCCTAAAAAAATACATACAGTCCTAAGCTTTAGGAGATTTTATATTTCTGGTCACCATCCATGCTTTGTTTTGGAGAGATCAACAGTAGGGTAGCTGTTCTGCAGAATGGGGTGTCTCACCAGTCATAGTATGACAGATTACACCTTCTAGCACAACTATCTGAAAGGACTATAGGGAGGTGTGACTGCTCCTAGGTTTCCTGCTTTTCCTAGTGGAAGCTTACTGTGACTGCTCCACTGAAGTCAAGCTGCTTAGAGAAAGCCAGAAAGAGTTTCTTCAAAAAGCCATGAGAAATCAATAAGGAATAAGAAAGTCTTGACTTGGTGGCATTGTTTTATTCACTGTCATGGACCTCTTGAGGAATAAAGAGCAGAGCCTATAGGAACTCCTATAGGCCTTCTCTAGGAATCATATCAGCAGAAGAGATGCTGTAGGAAGAGAGAACCTGAATAAGCATTGGCAAGTTTAAGAAGCAAAGATGCTGCTTGAGGCAGATGAAGCTTACTGAATGTCTGGTTCTAGAAGCAGGTGTTTCCCCTACAGACACGGAAGGAATATAGTGTGTCTGAATTCCCCTTTAAAGTTTTGTGGACAATACTCAATTATAGTGAACAATTCCCATGGAAATCAGCTGAGTTATACCAGGGTGGGACTTTGCAGCTGAGAGTAGAGCATTTAATGTGCTTGTATATGTCCTGTGATATATTTTTTGAGGAATGAAAATTCCTCCAGATCCTGTATTTTTCACATTTTTTATTGTAACTCTGGCTTTGCATTTCACTTTGCATTAAAATTAGAATGGTTTCCAGCACAACTCTCCTGTTGTAAAACTTTGGTTGATTAAAGTTTAAATTTGACTATGGTGGGAAGTAGGAGCAGAGTACAATTTAAAATGCCTGTGTTAATTAAGAAGGGCAAGCTACTGTCTTTCTCAAACTACCTTTTGCCTTTCCATCATTACTGTACTGTCCTTACAGGTCTTTTGCCAAAGACTAAACAATAACAAGTAGTAACTTTAGTTTGCAAAACATCATGGAAGGTTCAAAAGCACATTATAGAAATCTCTCCAATCACTGTTCTTTGCACACCACTGAGGAAGAGCGTGTCATCTCTGTTAAAGTAGTGTTAATGAGCAGTGTTGGAAAGGAAGAAAATGAAATATTCTTTTATAGAAACCTCTGGGAAAATCCATAAGTAAGATTACATGTGTTAGAATTTGGATTGGAATTTGGATTTACAATATTTTAAGCCAAGAAGGACCTATACGGTCTGGTCTTCTGCATAACACAGGCAATGTAATTTCACCCAGTAATTTCTGCATAAAGGTCATAATTAGTTGCTGAGCTAAGATATCTTTTTTAGAAAGACAGTCTTGGATTAAAGAGGTCAAATGACAGAGAGTTCACCACAACCCAAAGTCAGCTGATGCAATAGTTTTTCCCTTCACTTCAAAACAAAACAACAAAACAAAACTGTTCCTTATTTATAATTTGAATTGAACACCTCTACTGAAGCTGTCATTCAGGACAGCACCTGTAGTAAAAAAGCACCTGCTAACACAAGCATGAACATGTTTTAAGCATGAAAAGCAGTGACTGGAGAAGTAAGAAAAATAAAGCAAAGTTTTGTTCACTGTTCTGTTCACTCACCTTTTTAAGGTCCCTCACTTTTCCCTTCTGGCTGCTTTCTTCATAGGTGAGGGCCAGGGTTGTGCTGAAGAGCTGCAGCAGCTTTGAAGAACCTTTTGAAATGAACCCTACCATTATCCGTTCTTTGGAGTCACTGTCCTTCACTGGTTTTCTACCTGTGAGAAAGGAGCGTGTTGCTGTAAAGGAACAGTTTTGGATATGGTATCTGGTGTGCTGAAGATGTATTTATCTAACTTTGCATTCTTCATGCCAAACAATGGAGTGCTAGTGGACTGAAAAAACCACCAGTGAGTGTCAGCTGGGGGGAGGAGACCTGCTTACCCCCCAGAAGCATTTTGGCAAGTTTTGTGAAGACAGTCTGATGCCTCTTTCTCAAGGAGCCATTGAACACGTTATTTAACAGAAATTGCTAACTCTTCTCTTTTGTTACATGGTTTTTGCTTTCTAAACACTGAGATCAGAATGAATACTGCATCACTTAAAAAAATTCAATTTCCTTCACCGCTCAAAATTTATGTTCAGAACACACAATCGTAGGTTATAAAACTACATTTAAGATCCACATTCTAGTGAAAAGGCATAGTGGGTGGAGGGACTGCTCAAAAAAAGCCTGGTACCAGGGGACTGCAGAGCTCCATGTACTCAGTCCTACATCATGGTTTGCAGCTTTTTCCCAGGCTTAAAATACATCAGGTAAACTATATCCCATACCTGAAGAAATTGGCCAGGTTCCTTTCTTTGGGGTTAAAAGATAGCAAACAGAGGGCAGAAACAAAGGACAAATTTCCATTGTTGTTAGTGTGACCCAGTCAGTCCTGTCTCACCTGTTCACTCCCAGCTGTCTGGTCCAGCTCCACGCTTTATGTGATCAAATCCTTACCGAGGAGTACTCCTCTCAAGCAGCCTACAAAGTGATAGCACCCCAATTATAAAAATAATGCTCTTATACATAATAGAGTTTGTTCTGTTTAAGAATGTAAGATTTACTTCAGTCATTTTCTGTGACAGAAAATGGTCATGTTGTTATTTATATCACATTAAATCGTGTTTTCATAAACTATACAGACATTTAAAATACATTATTTTGGAAAGATGTTCCAAGTAGTGAACAAACTATGTATGTCAAGTGTGAGATAGTGATATCCTTGAGAAACACAAACTCAACTCATTTGAACCCATAAAAAACTAAGCACTGAGGTTAAACCATAAAATGTGGTGGGCAGTTTCTCACTACGGTAAACCACTAGACTATTAGGTATGCAGGCAATATGTGTTTGTTTGCTCCCGTGGATACTGAAAGTACTCTGAATTCCTCAGGACTTTAAATATTATGTTATAAAATGTTAAACCAATACCTTTGGGACAAAACCAGAATCCAACACATGCCACCTAAATTACTAAGGTTGAAAAATAAAAAATCAGGACTCAAGCTTCTGAAGAATTTTTTTTTTGATGGAACATATTTCCACTTCATCTATAAAAAAATTCCAGTTTAAACCCCTGTCCTTGTTTACACCTGAGAATAATGATGTACCTTATTCATTTGCTTTTGGAAAAGGTTATTTTTGTTTCAGCCAAAGCAGCTCTTTTTTTCTTTTTTCTTTTTTTTTCTTTTTGTATTTCAGCATCTTTGAAGTTAGAAGTTACCCTGTCTTTTTAAAGGGAGTTTCCTGTTAAAGAAAACTAAGAAAATTATATGCCTCAATCCAGCAGGACAATTTATTGTTGTTTATGTCTGTAGTGGACCTAACAGCAACAGATATAGCAGCAAGCTTTCTTTTTGGGAAAACCAAACAAATGCTGTCCTCCTTCTGGTAATGAACAGATAGATTTTTTCAGAGTTCACCAGAAGTTAAAGGTTCTGAAAGAGATCAAAATGCACTAAATAGGCTGCCTAAAAATAATAACAGTTGGGAAAGAAGGAACTCAGAAAGTGCATTCATGTGAAGACTGTTGTGAAAGCAATTTCTTAGAACAGATCTTTGCAATGGTTTTTCCACTTCTAAATGCTGATTGTTGGTTTTTTTAATGCAAATTTCTGTGGCATTAATTCTGGGAATTTTTCCAGTAAAACACATTCTTCCATTTAGCCCAAGAGGAAATTCTCAGCAGCAATTCTGAATTGTTTTTTATTTTAGCAAGATTGATGTGGAAACCTTTTTTTTTTGTTTTGAAAGACCCTTAGACTTATCGTGTGCAATGTGATGATATTTAACCTCAGAAATGCAGCTTCTTCAGAGCCAATGATGGGGCAAATAAATATTTACTGCCTGATTAAAAAAAGGAAAATACCATAGCATTCAGGAACTTGGGCCTTTCTAGCTATCAACAATATTCTGTGTGCTCATTGCCCTCTCCTGGTTTCATCTGGTAATTTTTCAGGTTTAAAGTATCCAAAATGGGTCTCCTGAGAACATTATGCATTCCTCTGACAGTTTTTTTTCCTTTTCCAGTCCAGTATATGACTCGTGAACATGGTTTTTCAGGTAGTACAAATGACCTCTCTCATCAGTGTACTATAAACAGGCAGTTTTTCAGACCCAGTGAACTCTGTTTGCTCCTTCTGCTGTTGTGGAATTTGTCTGGGACACACACTTAGGGCAATCTAGTCAATACTTGAATTTAAAAAATGCTTTTGATAACATCCTGCCTTAAACACTTACAACAAAAGGAAGCCATTATGAGATAATAAATCATTACAGGTAGGGATCTCTCAGAGGGTAAAAATGTATGTTTCTTCAGGAAACATATGAGACCCGGTTTTAGTAGTTTGTTCAGGGCAATGCCCAGACAAGTTCCAAATATCTCCAGGGATGCAGATCCCACACGCTTTCTGGGTCCATCCAAGTGTTTCACCACCCTCGTGGTAAATTATTTTTCTTAATGTTAAGTCAGAGTTTCCTATGTTCTAATTTGGTGAGCCTTTCCTTAGAATAAGATCTTTCATTTCATAAAGGAGAAAACGGATGAAGGCGGAGGAATGATAGACATTAAAAATCATGACTGCTGCAGAGAAGGGGAATGGGGAGAAATTTTTTTCAGTACTCAAAAATATGACTATTGCCAAGTTTACATTAAAAAAAAAAAATTAAAAAGAGAAAAAAACCTTTTTTTTCACCAGGATATAATTACCTTGCGGACTCACTACTGCTGGGTAATATAGAGGGCACAATGCAGGAGTTGTGAACTGAATTGAGAAAATAATGGAAGACAGAACCCATAAGCATCTGCTCAACCCAGTAGTCTGAAGGCAGCTGCGCTCAAGAGAGCTGCAGCCTGCTGACTTCTCCAGGTTATGTATGTGTTCCCAAGGTGGATCACCCCAGACACAGCCTGTTGGTATATTCACCCACTAGCCATCCTGTGCTGGGTAATAGCAGGGGAAGCATACATTATACAGGTGGCATATGTGGTACAGGACTTTGAATTAGGAACCCTGTGGCCTGCATTTATTGTCCAGAAGAATGAGAAATTTTAAGTGCAGCGTTAATGGCATGAGATGGAAAAGACATTGAAAAGAGAAGTAGCACTGGTTCTGACTCCATGTAAACAGTCTTATTATGTAGGAGTGTGGGATCTGATTTCCCATGTTCATAAATTTGAAGGAAATCATCTTGGATACCCATATAGACTGAAGCTTCTTACTGCTATTTATATCCTGTTGTATGTATCAGATGCTTGTTTTCACCTGCACTGCAAACCTATACTATCAGGTGGATATTTTATTTATATATATATATTTATATCTATATATATTTTGTGTGTCTATTAGGCATACATGCAAATGTGTACATATGTATAAAATGTAAACAGAATTACTACATTTCATTTAGAAAGTTATTCTCTGACCTGCTGTCCTGTTTCTGTGAAATCAGAATGCTGGAGTAGTAAAAAATGAGACTGTAAAGGCCCACACCTGGGGAAAGACTCTCACAGCCAAGGAAGTGGGAGGGACAGCCAGCTAGCCAGGTGTTTTGCAAGAACACCTTCATAAGGGTCACATCAGGAGTAAGCCTGGGGATGTGACTGAGACATAATACTGAATTAGCCTAGATTTTGCTGGTTTTAATGCAAGGCCCTGTGTTTTATACTGCAAAGTCTAATTCCTCATATGTGGCATTTTAATTTACCAAACCCCAGTTACTTCATCTGCTAGAACAATTACATGAAGATCTACAATTATTTAAGCAAAGTTTTGGATCTCACAAATTTGTAGACTCTCACAAACATGCCGATACAGTGCTGTCCTGAAAGCCAGAATATTGGGACATTCTTGAATCTTCACTTTTCCTGTAGCTATGTTATTTATTAATCTTCTCCATTTGAAGATAATTCCATTCAGATCCCAAATTGTCCAGGAAGAATGTTGGTGGTTCCAGGACCTCCCAGGCATAAGAGAACTCTTTAACTTGTGATGGGATGAGACTTAAAGTGAATGTTTAGACTAAAGAATTTGTCTAAAATAACTTCATAGTACTCCCAAAATAATCTGTCTGCCAGATTTAGCAGACATACTGGTAGGTTTTAGTGGAAATGTCCACATCCTGGAATCTGGCTTTTATATAATATGGTAACACAAAAAGGAGTTAGAAGTTTCAGTTGCCCTTATGGGTAAAGAAATAAAGTGACTGTTAGTATAATAGGAAACAAACAGTAGTCACTAGGCATTGTATGCTACATTGTGCTAGGTAGATCTGCAGCCAGGTTATAAAAGAGGTTACATCATGTGTCAGGTAGAGGGAGTGAATGTCTAAGGCACATCAGTGTTTTTAAGTTAAGGTGAGAGATTCCTGGAGTTTAAACTGAAAATAAAGAGGTATTCCAGAAGTGGATACACTTAGATTATTCTTTGTATATCTACAAGCTTTGTTCAGAACAGGTCCAAATCCATGAAAAACCCTATGGCTTTTAAGGGGAGATAATGCATGTAAACTGTTAGAAAAGTAAGCACCACTTCTGTCTTTCTTTTAGTAAATCTTCATGTTTGTACAGTAGTTTTTACAGTAAGGCTCACGGTATAGTTTTAATTTCTATCAAGACAATAATGTTCCCTGGTGAAACGAACTCAAATTCATCACCCAAAGTCTTGTGTGGTTTCACATCTATTTCCCACT